CTGGTGCAAATTACTGACCTCTGTCATCATTTTAAGTGGGGGAACTTGCACAATCGGTGGCTGACTAAATACTTTTTTGCCCCACTGTAAATGTGTAAAATTGCAGAAAAAAAATGTTGTTAGCTTGTTGACCAAACTGCCCTGTAATTATAAAACTGAAACAGAAAATATAATTTTGTTGTGGACATATTGTAAAAAAATAGAAATTTCTGTAGTTTTATAATGGCACTTCTGGCTTCCGCTTTAAAGGATTGTTTTTTCCAATTGAAAAATAAGGAAGTGATATGATAAGGTGTGATATGAATGGGAGGACTTCGTCAGAAAAAGCTGGAAAACTTATTAAAATACATTTAAAAACCCCAAAATTGAAGCCCTCCTTCACAATTTGTAAAGTTGTCCAGTGGACCAGACTGGACTCTTTGTCGGGCTGATTCTGGTCCCCAGGCCTTATTTTTGACACCTCTGCCTTAAGAGTTCCCTGAGCCATTCCTGACCAATTAGTATGGTTAGAGTGTGCTGTTGGTTCAGCAGCCTGAAATGACATGATGAAGGTTATCCACTTCACCTGTCAATCAGTATAGATTACATCACATTAATAAAATTGCATTACATTGTATAATATCACATGATACATCACTATGGCACTGATTACATTATATATAAGATCAAATAACATTCTGACATTGTAGGCCCAAGTTTAAATCAGATCATATATGATCACATTTAATTATGACTCAGTGAGATCACGTGTGAGAACCAATATGTAACACAGATAGAAAGCAGGACCTCGCTGACATATGCAATATGAAAATAAAAGAGCAGCTTCCAGTCAGCGATGGCTGTTTCACAAATTGTATCCTGGTTACAGATGCTTCATGTCACCTGAGGCCTAACCTGGCACCACAGGAAGCCATTTTTTTTCCATTATGTCTTCCTGTAAAGCAGCCCAAACCCTGCTCATATATTAAGCTGATATGAAGAGATCACTAATGAGTGACAGAGACCTAACAAGCAAATTAAAAAAACAACAACAACAATAAAAAACAGTTTTAGCACACAAAACCTGTGATGAATTCTGTGCGTCCTAAATCAGATCCTTGTTTTTGAAATGTTCATTTATTGAATCGTTCTCTCGTCCGAACATTTCAAGACATCCAGGAGGGTATTACTGGGCCACGCTGTTGTGATTCAACCAATGACGAGAACGGCGGGGAAACACTACACAGAGAGCGCCACTGGCAGCATGAATAAAAGGCAGGCAATGCGCGCAGGAGGGGAGGTCCGAGGCCCCGGGTAGGCTACGGGAAAAGGAGGTAGAGGCGGAGTCTGTCTGTGAGCGTATATGCATCTGTGCGCTTCCTCGCTCACCCCTCCTCTTTTTTTCTTTTTTAAACCACCCCACCCCCACCTCTGCTGCCCCCTCCCCCCTTCACCCCCCCCTCCCCTCTCCCCGACCCCTCCTCCTCCTCCCCTCCTCCCATCGTGCTTGCCCGCCCCTGAGTCTGGAGCAGCAGCAGCAGCAGCAGCAGTGGAGCTTCACTGCCTCTCCTCGCCTCACAGTGCGGGAATATACCAGCGGAGAGCAGAATGGATACGGAAGGGAGCCAGAGCAGCCTATCCTCCGGCACGGACAACTCCCCCCACGACCCCTGGTAACAGCCCGAGTCCGTGCGCCCGTGTTTCGCTCGCCTCTCGGCCCGGTTTGAGTTCACCTTGGACTTAAGTTGAGTTCAGTGCGGGGAGCGAAGCCGCGCCGAGACAAAAGACAAGCACGCTGTGTGTGTTGTGTGTATGTGTGTGTGTCTCTCTCTCTATGTGTGGGATGGATAGACTCAGCGGAGGAGACGCAGACGCACCGCTTGCTTTCCGCCTGTTATTTCTCTCTCCCTCCCCTCCTCTTGTTTGTTTATTTTTCTCGCTTTTCCGCCAGAAGGCCACATTGTAACTTCTCTTCCATCATCTGGAAAATCCTCTCCTTTTTTTCCTCCTCCTCCTCCTCTAGGGGATTATAACGGCCCGACTGGCCGATTGGTGACTTCGCAACATGGCCGATGCTTTCTTCTTACTTTATTGATGCTATATTACGCACAGATCCTCCAGATTCCACCCTTCACTCCACGAATGTGCATGTGTTGTGCTTAAAAGACGCTTTGAGAAAAAAATCTGTGACTTACAGCTTCTGTTTCTCTCATTCAGCAAAATGTTCATCGGGGGTCTGAGTTGGCAGACAACACAAGGTGAGCTGTCCCGCACGCTACTTTAATAAGTCTGGATGAAAGCCTCCTGTTTACTCCTTTTTAAATATAACGTTTGCTCTAATAATAGCTGTGGCGATAACCTGCGAGGCTTCTTGAAGTTTTAAGGAGAAACGCGGTGAACAGTTCAAATCAAAGCCTCCTATTCATTAAGGATCAAGCTCTAGGTTTAGAGTCGGGAGACGCAGGAGATTAATCGTGCGCACACGACGACTTGTCTGCCTTCCTTTCCTGTGCACTCGTTACACTCTTAATAACCTGAGGAGGGCATTCAGAGTAGAAAAAAGGGAAAAAACACTAAAGTGATCGATTAATCAGCGTTAAAGCTGGAAGTTGGGCTCGTCATCATGACCCACGCTAGTGTTGTTGTTTTCCTTATTGGTAGCACTCAATTCATTCATTTATTCGAAGAGCCGTGAGCGCAGGCTGACGCACGGGCACAGTTTAGTCTTGTTGCGACGGCCCGTGTTATTATCTCCACTGCTGCTGCTGCTTCTGCTGCTGCTGTGTCAAAACAGCGAGCGTCACCAAGTGTGTAGCTTTGTTTGTGGTCCGCAGGGCCTAATGGGGCTGGTTGTGCTGAATGGCCAAAGAGAGCCCGGTGTAAAAACCTCGGCAGGACACACGCACACAAACACAACGTGGTCCGCCCGACCCCCATTGTCTCTCTTCAGCCACTGCACAGCACACCAGGGCCCTGTTTAGAGAGAAGTCCTTCTCTCGTTCCCTTCCCCTTTAACGGTGTCTCCCCGGTGTCTTTGCAGAGGGCTTGAAGGAGTACTTCTGCAAATTCGGCGAGGTGAAGGAGTGCATGGTGATGCGGGATCCCGTTACCAAGCGGTCGAGGTAAGAAGGAGGCGTGTGCGCTCCGCCGTCCTATCACCGGATGCCTCATGCTCTTCCATGCTTTTCCATGAGAGCTGTCGTGAGTTTGCATTCTGATTTTGTCACTTGCGTGTGCTTTCTCTCCCCCCCCCGTTTTACAGAGGGTTCGGCTTTGTAACATACACAGAACAAGCCGGTGTGGAAAAGGTTTTGGCGCAAAACAGACACGAGCTGGATTCTAAAACGGTGAGTTCTTAAACTTTTGGAGTGGATGGTACAACTTGGGCAACTTTTCTTACTCTGGGAGTGTGTAGCCTGTTTCTTCCCCCCACCCCTTCTCTCTCTCTCGGTGCATTTTACCTCCAACCCTATGGCTTGTAAAGTTGAGGAGTGCATTTTGGAGCCCACACCCCTCCTCCTCTTCTCCTCTTCTGCTCATTTCCCCCTCCAAATCCTGGTTCAGGGCGCCAACATGAAAGCGTTCTTTCTTGGTCTTCATTGCCATGGTTACCTGGGGACCTGAATGGGGTAGGAGCCCCTTTGCAAAAGCCCTCACAGGTTTTTATGCAGAGTAGAGAGTTCACAAGTTTTTTTCCCCTTATTTTTTTCATAGGAAATAGCAAGTGATAAGTTTTTTTTAGTGGCAGCTCTCAGAGTTTTTTGGGGGTGGCAAGAATTGTGGGAGTGGATTCCAAAACTGATGGCAGGGAGAAGGAAGACTGTGGGGTCAGCGCAGCTGAATTTAAATAGTGATGTAACTCTGAGATTTGTGAGTGTGTGTCTCTGTGATTTCCCCCTCCTACACTGCTTAAACATGAACAAACAAATGTGGGCAAATTTCACAAACCACTCACCAAACCAGAGGACAGGCAGCACCCTTGTGTTCAGGTAATTCATATTTTTGCGAGAGACAGTGACTTGGGCATGAGTGCGAATCTCTTTGGTTTGTTTTGGTAAGAATCCGAGGCCCACATTTGAATATCTATTAAAGTGTGAATGCCTCTGTCTTGGTAATGCAGATTGGTTGTTGGATTGGGGACTGGGTGTGTCTTTGTCAGCTTGTTGTCTTTCCTAACCACAGTATGCAGACACACACACACAATAGGATCATTTGAGAGTGAAAATCGGTGGCACAGAAAGTCAGCAGGGCCCAGGGGCAGAGGAAAGGTAGAGTTGGTTAGTTTGTTGGAGCAGGCCTGTTGCTGGGGGTGACGCCAGCCTCAGGAGATGGTGCTGTAACTGCACAGCCCAGTGGGATTTATGTCTCCATAACAACTTCTCAGCTATTTTGCATTGACTTAAGGTTTGGTTGATTTGGTGGCACAAAGATAGTGTCAAGTTTTGTCGGGCGTTTATAAGTACGCAAGATTATGATATCACGTTTGTTTTTTTAAGTGAGACTGTTCGTAATTTAGAAAGTTTAAAGATGCAGTTTCGTGAAATAAGCAGACCTTCAAGCACCACCGCTGGAGGTCCTGATATTTATTACAAAATGAGCGCTGCTGCTGGTAATCTCTCCATATATTTTTTTTATTATTCCTTTTTCACCTTGCTTGGAAGTAGGTTCTAAGAAGCTGCAAAATATTACTCAGTGAGTCATGTTACCTCTTAAAACTAGGTGCTGCCAGAGCCTTTGAGAGCCAGAGCCTCTGTATTTGTGTGTGTGGGATGTGAACGCTGGTTTTGGACGCCTCTGGTAGCTCAGCTTGGCAGGCCACTGGTGGGGTTAGGCGTTGCCCTATTATAAACCAAAATACGGCATAAGGCTAAACAATAATAATGTTAATGACTCAAATGCAAGGCTGGGTTGCTCAGGTTGTTGTGGCAGCAGTCTGCGGGGGGAAGCGTGCCATGGTACCATTTATCCAACAAGGCGTTTTAAACGGGGGGTATGGTTGCCATTTTGTTGTTCCGTTTTGGAAATTTGAGCCCAGAATTTATTTGTTGCAAATCTCATATTTGCCAAATTGGGATGTATTTTTTTTTTCTTGCCTTGCTTGTAGCTTAATTCTCGAAACGCTACACAAAACATATTTGAGAGAACGTTTTTGCATCACACCTGGAGTCTCCCTCTCCACAGTATTGTTTGATCAGCCTGAGACGTGAAAGAGGCATTCCTCACAGGCACGAGGAAGAATATTTGATGCTGTGATGTGTATGCCTTGTTATGCTGAGCTTTGGTTTGCGAGAAAATATGTGAAAGGCATGAAGCAGGGACGGGCGATGGCGTGAAAAGGAGAAAATGCACAGGGTGAGAAGTCAGGTGCAAACTAACCGGTGCAAGGTCCACGCTGCTTGGTTAGAAGCGGTATTAAACATTTACAGTCCTGTTACATCGTGTTAGCTGCCCTCGGAAAATGAAAGTCACAGGTTAAAATATGAACTGAACTGTTGTAATTGTTCAGTTATAATGCAATAAGGCTGTCTGTTGTGTTCAGTGAGAGGGTCTGTCGAAGTTGTTGTTTTGGTTCGAGGTTAGATTTCCTGTCGGGGGCAGAGTGTGGCCCCGGGGCATTGGTGTGCTGCTGTATTTCCCTGGCCGGAGAAGAAGGGCACAACTGGTATTTGTTTTCTTGGAGAAAATGCTTCACTGGAACCGGTTACGGGAAGAAGTAAAAGACGAGGCCAGATATTCTCTGAAAAGACACCACTTCTTGCTCCCTCTGTGCGGTGATTTCAGATTATTAAAAAATTTGTGGTGAATTATGGTTTTTGGTGATTAGTGTGATTATTTGGCATTTGCTATTTCTTCACAGGGAACTCTGTCTCTCAAAACAACCCCCTAAAAAGCCCAGTGTAGTGCTGAATACAGGTTGCTGAAAACATTTTTAATAGAAGGCACAGACAGATAAGAAACACACTGATTATTTTTATTTTATGTGATTTTTTTTTTGCGCAAGTAAGCTGGAATGTCCTTTTCAAGGTGTTTTAGGCAGGACTTGTCTGCGAGGCTAAAGAAGTCGTCAGCATTGTGCTAATACAGCTGCTTTCATCTGTAGCCCATGACATATGTTAGCAGCAGCCACTGTGGGCCACAGGCCCCATAGTCTGCAGTTGCTAGTGGTCTAACACCTGGTTAGTGGAGAGTTTAAATGCCAGGATGGGCTGCTCGCTCCTGATTGGAAGATTAGCTGTTAATGCTGACGTGCACGAAACAAGGAGAAGGGGGATGGAGAAGGTGAAGAATAGGAGAGAAGGGAAGGCACTGTGCTGTAATTAGTATGGATCTGTAAAGCAGCTAATCGGATTGAATGAAACAAACTGGATTGGGCTCCTGAGGTCCGTGCACGACCTCAGATCCGGGATAAAGCTTGGACCAGCTCTGAAGGTGGAGCGAGAGAGCTCTCTTGTCATGTTAAATGTACACAAACCCCCCCCACCCCACCCCAACAGTAAACACAACCGAGCACAGCAGCCACACAGGTTAGGCGCTCACATAGAGGGTTACAAGCGGTAGGGACGGGGTTAGGTTGGAGGTCCTCATTAGTGAGCTTCGTTAACTAATTACTGTGCCATTCTTCAGCTGTGCAGATTGACCCGGCTGGCCTGAGCCCAAACCAAGTCTCCCTCTTACACTGTGTGCATGTATTGACATGTCAGCCCCTTTTGTGTCCTTGGGTGTTTATAGCTTTTTGTTAAGCTCATATTGATTATTTTGTCATAATGACGGTAGCCCGTGGTGTCTTTTTATCAACGTGGTTGCCCTTTTCTTGCGAGAATGTCTTGGAAACTTGGCCAGTGTATCAGAGCTTGAATGTCTGTGTGTATATGCTCGTGTTTTCACCTATGAACTTTGCACGTATGTCACTTTGTATCCTCGTGTTAGCGTTTCCGCTCTCGCTGCATTGTTTGGGTGCTTGTGAATGCGTGTGTGTAAGTGTATATGTATGTGTGCCTGTGGGGGTAGCACGGGAGCCCCAGTTCCTCTACGGGCCCATCTGTTTTGTACTCTTTGTCCTGTTAATTAATGAAATCAGAGGGGCTGCCTGCTGGGACTGCCCCACTGCACCACCACACTGGACAGGCCCGCTTTCTCATGGGCTGACTCTGTTTTCCGAATGAATGCCTTCTCTTTCTCTCTGTGCTCTCTCACCTTTACACGTACGCATCTACTGGTTTGACATTTTTTTTTAAAATTTTTTTTTCAAAATTTATTTATGCTTTGATTTTTGTTTTCCAGTTTGTAACACTGGTGGACACGCCGCGCCCTGCGAGGTGACTATTGGTCGTAGATTAGAGTAGTCTTAAAAGCTAAAACCACTAAAATCATACTGCAGGCTCTGCTGTCACTATGCTGCTTAGAAGGAGCGGAGGTTGGATGTCATGAAGCAGGATGTTAGACCACTTCATGAACACTCAGTTATAACTCTTGTCTGTCAAGTCTGGGAAAAGCACCTTTTTTTTTTTCTTTCCAGAAAGGTTTTCACATTTTTCTTGAGTAGTTACGCTTTCACCAGTATGATTGGGAACGCTACGTGGCCGAGCTTCTTTTCAAATGTCAAGCCACCGAAGAGCTATTTCTGAGTGTTGCAAACAGTGACCTGGCTAAGTCATTTCACTTTTTGCTTTGTGGCCTATCTGTCTTCCTTGAGGCTAATCCGCCACTCTGATAGATGCTTTAGTTTTCATTTTTATTATTGCCTCCCTCTGAGTACTGCCAGATGTAGAAATTACATGTTAGATATATTCTGTTACTTCACTGAAGTGGAACGATTTTTTTTAACAGCATGGCATGACAGTAGCTGTAGTAGCACTGCTACAGATATTTAGGCCTAACGTAGCCTAGCTGGTAACCTTCAGTATTTTGAAGAGCTTCTGATAATTTACTAGCTGTAACAATACTGTTAATTTGTAAAAATGTGAAGTATGATGGGCAATCTGATCCTAAAATTTATTAGCAAGACCGCTATATCGGTGTGATCACATATCTTGATTTCTTAGGTATTTAATTAGCCCATAAACAATCATAATTTGTGTCCCGTCTTCCACCCCTCACCCCCAATTGGTCGCGTCAGATAATTGCCCCTTCTAGAGCCTGGTTCTGCTGGAGGCTTCTTCCTGTTAAAGGGGAGTTTTTCCTTCCCACTGTCAACAAGTGCTTGCTCATAGGTGCGAGGGTCCTCTTGGCGATTTCTCTCTGTTATTTTACATCATAAAGTAATTTGAGATGACTGTAATGGTGATTTGGCGCTATGTAAATACAGTTGAATTGAATTGAATCGTGCAAACATACTGATTTCACACTTCTTAAAAGAAAGGGCCTTTCTGAGAAAACTTAACTAATCAACATGCTGCTGGATGAATAAAAAAAAAGACTTGGACATTAGTGCTTGTTTACAACTAGCTTATAGAAACTGATGTTTTTTTCTTCGTGTGTTTACAATGGTGATAACAATGGACAATGTGGCTCGTGTTAGATGTCTGACCGCTGCCATTCTCAGCTCATGCTCTGCCACATGATCGCCTCAAGGCAGCTCCTGCCCTCTTGTCGTGTTAAAACAGTGCAAGGCAGGTGGGCTGAACAGAAAGCCCGAGGCAGTGACCTCTTAGCACTTCAGTGCCAAGAGGAACAACGGACATTTTGCCCACGTACGCCAACCGGTGATGTCATTAGGATGTTACAGACGCTTGGAGTTGTTTAATTGTGATAATTATATTGTGCTGTAATATAAATGAGTTTCTTTCCAGTAGTACAGTTGTGCTATAACTTATATTCTATTGTTTTTAGTAAACAGTGAAGCTAGTGTGTAGAAATTGATGCATCTGAGTTTGCAATATTTGGGCTGGAATGATGTGAAGAAAAGCTTTGATATTAACTCTAAGTTGATACATATCTTCTCTCATTAAATACATTTCAAACATAGACTCCACAAAAAAGACGTTTAATTATTTTAAAAACATTTTTATTGAACAAGGTCAAATGCTGCCATGCTGGGTGTGAATGCACGGTGTGAGTAAAATGAATTCTCTTATTCATGATCATCGTGCTTGATCACATCGCAGTGACCCGATGTTCAGTTTATAAGTCAGCAATATTTGTGACACATTTAAATAAAAATGGCTAAAAAGCTGAATCATGTAGCGGGCAAACGCACACATCTGTAACACTGTAATGTCACATTTGGCCCACACAGACACAGAAATGCTGTGTTGTCATTGTTTGTGAGCGCGCTCGGTTGTAGCGGATAGTCGCTGGTGGCTTCGTGCGTCCTTGTCACCTTGGTCTTTGTGAGCTGACCAGCTGGAGGTGACATGGCTCTTCTCATCTTTGTGTCCCACTTTAAGGTGTAAAGTCCCTCTGCAATCCCTTCCAAGGACGCTGCAGCTGCATCTTAGTTACACAGCGCTGTGCTCTCGAAGCGGCGGCAAATGTGAAGCACTTAAAGGTCCTCGAAGGATATATGTGTCAGTAGATTTGTCATCAGAAGCAGGGAATTAGAATTATCACAGGGAAGAGATGAAAGGATTGTTTGAATATTGAACGAACACCCTCCTTTGTGTCGTGCGTATTGTTCACATTAGAACTAATTATTTTAAGCTATTTCACAGGGCACTTTTTACTGCCAATATCAATTCAATACCTCTGATAGCGGCTGTGGGAGACACGAGGGGTTTCGCTTCACACATCCAATTATTAGAACAAAGATGAAACTCTAAGACCATAATACACTACAAGGTCCTGTGACCTAAAAATCATCTCACTCGTCGGTTTGAGTGAGAATAACACGAGATTCCGCACAAATTTAAAATGCCAGGCCGAGCTTTGCATATTTAGCATTATTAAAGGCCAGCTCATTCAAAGCTCATTTACTTCTAATTTTATCTGTAACCTTGACCAATGCTGAGACATTCCAGTGTGGAGGAATATGGATACAGTCAAATCGAGCTAATCCAAAATGGAGCTTGTCAGGATTTGTGAGATTTAGAAAAAAAAAAATCTATGTGTGATATATTCAGAATCTTAGATGCTCATTTTGGATTTTAAGACTGCCCCGCTCTGTGTAGTTTGTGGCGAAGATGCATTTAGTTGTGTCTCAACACACAATTCAGAGAAAGTACATATTCCTGTCTCACTGTGTATTTTGTTCCTTATGCGTGTTTGTTTAGCTGCCGTGTTTGGATTTTCGGGGGCTTGCATAAACAAGGGTCTACTATACATATTCGCGGATTAGCATACGATCTATTTCTGGACCTGTAGTCCAGACTTAGAGGCTCTGTCTTGTAACAAAATTCTAGTTAGTTAACAGGGTGATAATTCATTGATGTGCGCAGCGGTTTTTTGAACAGGAACTTTTGAGCAACAAAACCAGAGCAGGTAGAGATTCGGTGTCATTGCTGGGGTAAAAAAAAATCAAATGTCAGATATATTTTAATATCGCTTTCCTATAAGGGGTAAGAAAAAAATATTATGTGCATTTCCAGTCCTGCAACCATTCAATGACACGTTTGAGGCTGGATAACTTGTGTTTATGGTTGCCAGCGATCCAAACTTGCTTATGCCGTGTCTGTTATTAGTATGATGGTACTTCCTTTGTAGCCTTACTGCTCCCAAATCCTTAATAAGTCTGTTATTGGAACAGAGTGTGAATTAGACATCTCTGTGGTCTAATTGACCCCAAACATAATAGTACGGAGCAGAACATGTAGTAACGTGTAGAAGGTGTGCAGCTTGTAAATTACTTTTTGGAAATGTAGTTGATTATATGTTTCCTGATGACCAGTCGTAGATTATTTATGCATTTGCTGCCTGTTTCTATTACAACAGAAAGAGTACAGCATTGATATCTATATTTGTTTTTATAAGCAAATCAAATGTATTGATTTATTACTTAAAAAACAACAAAAACTCATCATGACTCATCTTTTTCCTACAGATTGACCCAAAGGTGGCGTTTCCCCGCCGGGCTCAGCCTAAGGTGAGTGCACCCTGAAGGAGTTAACAGCAAGGAGGAGTGGAGATGATGTCATGTGTCACCCCTAATAAGGGAGCCCTGGTTGGCTGGGATTAGAGTCAGGCACATGATCTAATTGGAGCTACAATCCACTTGTCCAGCCTGACACCATGACCCTGTGTACACAGGCTCCTGTACCGCCGCCTGTATACGTGCACACACGCACACACATGCATTTTCTGGCTCACACCTAAATGGATGCTTGCACCGATTATTCGCCTGCACACATGCTGCTCACGTGCACACGCCTCAGAGGCCTTAAATTGACATCAATTAGTCTGAATTCCAAGAAGAGCTTTAAGCAACCTTTGAGATTAGACAAACCCCAACCAACACAAAGTCTCTTTATCGCAGGCAGCTAGCACAGACCTAATGTTATTAGTGATAAAAGATACCTTCTTCTTCTTTTCCTTCTGCGCTGTTAGCTGGTGACCAGGACAAAGAAGATCTTTGTCGGAGGACTGTCAGTCAATACCACCATCGAAGATGTGAAGCAATATTTCGACCAGTTTGGAAAGGTAAAAAAAGGCACACACCTACTAAATATTTGCAACCATCATGCTTAAGCCTTCACTCTGAAAAGCTGTCTTTCCGCTGGGCTGCTGCTGCTCAACCTTGGTCTGACCTTGACTTACCCTTCACAGATAATGCCCATCATATTAGATATATGAGCATTTTAGTGGTTTTTAAGTGGCAGTTGATAGATAGATATGTTGCAAAGCTATATTGTATCAATAAAGGGACAACAAATATCAATTTTTTAATAAATCATTATCATCTCACCTGATAATAGGTGGCAACCTTTTTGCAAGCAGTTGCACTCTGACTGGGACTGACTGGAATTACTCTCAGAGAGGTTTTTAGACATTTGCAGATAATTGCTATTTAATTTATAAATACAGACAGATTGCGTCAACTTAACTGGCTGCCAGCTGTTTGTATTCTGCAGAACAGTAAGGCTGCTGAGCACAAACGTAATGGTAAAGTGTGTGCAGACAGCAGACGATATGTGATTTTTAAAATTTATCACAGTTTATTGCTGTTTTATCAGAAACAGATTGTATATAACTGCAACATTATGACTTATGGCAACATTTGTGTCAGGTTTAAGTGACGGTGTTGGTGTGCTTGACATTAATAACGGAAGTGAGATAACTTTATCTTATTGGATAAAACAGATATTGGCTGTCTTGAGGATATAATTTGTAGTTGAAAAAAGAGTGATAAATCACAATATATGTTACTACAAAAGCTTAATATCTTATCGTGAGTGAGATATTGGGATAGTATTGTATCGTGTGGGTGTGTGGTGTTTACATCCTCTACTTTTAACCCAGATTTCTTAAGGTGGATGCTAATATTTTGTCAGCATTTGGCTGCTTGCAGCTCCTCTCTTAGTTTTAAGGAAGAATTAGCTTTTCAATTAGCCTAACAATTCATCCGTTAGCCAACAGTTGAAACTTTTTATAATTTATGAGCGTTAAGGTGTTTCATCTACTTTCAGTTCACAATTTAATAAAGTACAGAAACATTTCAATCAGTTATTTTTGAAGTGAATCCTTTTTCAGTGGTTTTCAAGAGTTTGAGCTTACTGTTAGCTTCTAACAAGTTTTCACACTATAAGTGGGGAATTGTTGTGTTCAGGTGTTACAGTACTTTGATCAAATTACTTGATAAAAATTGTATCAAATTACTTCAGCTTGACCGCATTCTGTCCGTGTACCTTCTGGTAGCTGCATAAGCACACCCTGGGGTACCTCTGGTTGGGCTTGGCTGCTCTAATGGACTGCATGCCTTTGATAGATTATATTCATCTACTGACTCTGTCCAGCTAAAAGTTTTTTTTTTAACTTTCCTTTTAAACTTTTTTTTTCCACAGAGAAAAAAACGACTTTTATGGCTTTTGTTTTAAGCATGTCCGTTTTTTGGTTCAAGTCGAGACACCTTAAGAAGAGAAAGCAGACCTGTTTTAGGAGAAAAAGTGAAACGAAGGCACGCAGTGAAAGTGAAAGAAACAAATGGTAAACGGTGTGCTGCGCTGTTATACATCCTTTTAACCTTAGCTAGCTTCTTCAGAAGTCCTCAGAGTGGGTTTCTCTAAAGAGTGCAAATATCAAAGAGGGGAAACAAAGAAAATGCTGTGTGGTCATCGGTGGCTCTGCTCCGTCAGCTTTAGCATGACTTAGTTTGTTAGTTTATCTCTCTTGTTGGCTGTTTTTGCTCTTTTCTGATCACATATTAGCATTTCTGGCTTCTGCATTTGGCCTGCTTAGCTCTTTTGAAAGAAATTTGGTGAAAGGCAAACACATGCTGTGGAGACAGATGAGTGGCCGGGGGTAGAGGGAGGTTAAAAAAAAAGCAGGAGGGGAAGAGGGAGAGGGAGATGGCAGGGGACTGAAAGGGAAGAAGAAACCCCCCGTGGAGAGCGAGTGGGAGGGGAACTCAGAAAAAGGTTGAAGGGCAGAGGGAAGGAGGAATGCTGAGATAGTTGTGAGGGGCAAAAGTGATTATTAAAGGGGGGGGGAAAAAGGACCAATCTGATGAGAAATAAGTGTGTTAAATTATCCATAAAGCGTGGCATGTTGGGTTAGTTTTTAGCAAACTACTGTGTGCGCGAATGGAGATCAGCCTTTTCAGTATTAACTAATCAAATGCAACAGCTGCTCCTGTAACAGCCCCCCCACCTTACCCAAAATCAGTACTTCAGACACCCTCCCATCTCACACACACAAACACACACCCTGCTCTAGTCGCTCTCAGCTTGTTGCCGTGGTGACCTGCCTTCGCCCATTGTCCCGCTATAATCCAGTGCTTTTTTGTGTGTGTTTCCTTTAAAAAAAAATGTGCGAGAAGTGTGTATTTGCATGAATGGAAAGACGGGCGTGCTTGTGAAAGTGTGACAGTGGCATCGTCGTGGATGCGAGCTTGCATGCATTTGTCCCCGTGCAGACGGAGAGCGAGGCTCACAGCCGGCGATCCAGTTGTCACAAACATTAAGTGTGCGCCTCTGCCGCCGTTGGTGAGCAGGACAGTCTGAAAATGAGCATTGCTTCAGGATGTGGGCCTAATGGGTTGGAAGAAATTAACAGCACGAAGCTCCTTCTGCCTCGTGTCTGCCTGTGTTTTCTCTCAGTTGGCCTCTGACTCACGCTTGAGGTATTACTGTATTTCAGGTACTGGTTCAAATTTAAAGAACGCCGTTTAATTCCGGCCCGCGTGCTCACGGAAGACCTGGATTTGCGAGCGTGTGACCCGTGGCACCGATTCAGGTGGCTGTTGTGACATGTGACACGTTTCTCCTCGGTGCACTCGCTTAAAATGGCTGTTTGCAGTCTGTGTGCCGAATCATTTCTCCCCAGTGATTACAGACACTCATATCTAAGACAACACTCCCTCCGCAGGATGAGGGAATATTTGGACTGTTTGGACACGTGAGACCAAAGCTGTATCGTGGATAGCGGCGATCCCACAGTGCATTCCTGCTGAGCGGGAGGTATTTCTTGTTTATTATCTGAGCCTGGTTACAAGGTGCAGGTTTGGTTGGAGCAGGACTCAGTGTCCTGTTTATTTTCATACTGTGGTACCGCCTTGCAAGGAAAACACAGAATGCACTCTGCATTTTATGCAAGTCTTTGATATGTGCCGAAGTTGTTATTGTTGTTTTTTAGCAAGCCTCTAAGAACACCTACATAAACTTCATTACTTGGACTAGGGTGGCTGCTCGGTTGTTGACGCGTCAGGTGTTCTGGGCCAACCTGAGGAGTCAGAGGCTTTTGTTTACATGTGATTTCCTAGTCGAAAAAATCTGAGGGCCTCTTGCTAAATGTTCCCAGGCCAATGAGACTGCAGCAGCCATGTTTCGATTAGAAGTCTGAAATGAGGGTCTTGTAATTTCCCTCAAGCTCATGTGGTTCTTTTTTTTTTGGCCAAAGCTGAATATAAGATCTGTCCACACACAGAAATGTGTTTAACATTTCAGGCATTAGCATTTCAGGCATTTTGGGCGTACAGTCAGTTAGGTTTGATCCAAAGGAAATCTCTGTTTTCATGCCTGTTTACCCTGCCTCTCTGTATCCTACACGAAAAGCCCGATGATTTCCAATCTTCATTTTTAAGTAAACCCAGCGAGTAGGTTAGCAAGCAAACGAAGGAGCGGATAGGATGAAAAAAGCAGCATGGACAGGGCAGACGGGAAAAGTTGGGACTCCACTCACCCATGTGAGCTGGCGATTAGAAGGCTTGACTGAACACTTTGTCTGCTGGCCTGTTTAGAGAGAGATGGCCGGAGAGAGCGAGCGAGAATGAAACGAGGGAGGGAGATGTGAGGAGACGGCGGGGAAAAAAATGTGAATGCCACCTTTCATAATCTGGCAGAAAAGTGTAATGGACTTGTCAGCAAACACTTGTTCTTCAGTACAATAGCGGTACGCTTCACTAAAAAGCGGTTATTTTTAATGCCGCTCTCGGGAAGCAGCTCGGAATCTCGGCTGACCCTCGTTCTCTGTACATCTGAGAATGTCAGAACTATGAGAATATGACCTTAAGTTTACTTCGGCTCTGCATGCATGCTGAGTAGTTAGCGATAGAGCTGCTGCTAAGTCAATCTCAGAACTCACAGCTATCCAATCAGATTGTCTTACAGCACCCTGGGCAGTGGACATCGTGAGATCTTCTCCTTATTGGTTTTGGCAAAGGCGAGGGGGGCTGGTGTGTGGCCACAGTCTGCAGATCTTTCTGTTCTCATGGAGGACAATTAGCAGAACCATGTTTGCACTACTATACTGCTTATTATCTGTAATTTTTTTTTTTCTGTTTCCAATACTTAAGATCTCCTCTGGCTGGCAGGGTTCGCTCATCTCTTCCAGAATAGATGTTGCTAATGCTAACAGGAGGACTAGCTGTGAGTGTAACTCTACTCTTATGATAACATGTTGGCCTGCAGCTGTCTACTTGCTGTCCTCTTCCCTGGCTCTCTGCTGTGTCATTGAGTCTGGATGACCGGAAGGCTGGAAGACATGAGGGGGAGAGGAAAGGAGAGGGGAAGGGAGGAGGAGGAGGGGGTTGCAGGATAAAAACTGAATGAAGGACAGCAAGAGGAGCACAGGGGGGAGCTCTGTGTGTGTTTGCGTGTGTGTGTCCCATGCTATATGTTAACAAGGATGAGAGTGAGGAGGGCTGTAGACGCAACCTTGATCCTCTTTGCATATATCATTTTTCACTTTCGTTGGTGCAAACACTTGCACAGGCTTGATCTCAATCAGACGAGAAGGCGTGCATGTGTGTTTTTCATCTGAGATACGTTTTAGAAATCAAGTGACCTGCCTACCCAGAGGCCTCAGGCACTCAGGTTACACTGGTTTGGGTTTCAGCACGCGCTGCCTAATGAAAATAGCCATGTGGTAGGGCTTTGGCATATTATATCATCGTCCCCGATAATATGGTTATTTTTGATGATATAAAAACATCATATCGCGATATCATACATGCTACAGCAACGCCATATGGTCTCCAGTGCGAGCAGCAAGGAGACAGGCCCAGGCATGTCTGACAGCAAGAGCGGTAGCTAGAAAAGCAGCTGCTGCAGCACCCTCCAAGCAAAGCACGGTACTTTGAAAAAATGTGAGAAAATTTGACCCACTAAAGGTGGAAATAACAAACATGGCAAAAACACACCCTTGAGTACAAAGCAGGCTATGAAGCAGGAGATACTAGCAGCCCGTGATGTGGGACCCAACAGTAAACAAATGACTCAACCGAGCATGCTAGAGCACTCTCCATATGACAGGAAGAGCGAACGGCGGATGGAAATTACTGATGCGGTTACACGGTGTTAGAGCAGGGCTTTAAGCAGCTGATTAGAAAGCTCGACCCTGAGAAACAACAGGTAGAAAACACTTTCATCTTTATTGTGTGACAATACGGTGCAGGCTGCTGACAAGTTGCAAGGTTAAGTTACTGTAGTTACTGTTAAACTAAAGCACGACGCAGTTATTTTATAGTTTTACTTAAATGTCCCAGGGAAAGCACAACCTGGGCTAGTTTCATGCTCACGTTTGAATTTCTGCTGTGTCACTGTATATACTGCTGTGTCACTACCATTGCACTGTAACGCTCCTGCAGCTGCTGCTGGCACCTTGTTTCAATAGATTCACACTTGTAATTAGGAAGTGTATCATCAGTGACAGCAGCTCATTGGAAAAGAAGGTTGGTAAATGCTCTTCATTTACTTACACTTACAAATGCTGCCGCCTGCAAGCTGCGAGCTTCGATACGACGTTCAGTCTTCTTTTTAAATATATTGTTGTTTTCTTGAAATAATCATGATACAATGTTGAAGCTGTATCGCTCACCACTACCATGCAGTCACACTCATGTGTCTCTGTTGTTTTGCTGCTAAAGACTGAAAATGTGAAAGTTTTTACTTCCACCTTGATCCCAGGCCTTGGCTTCTCCGTGTGTCTCCTTATGCCGTCAGAAGCTGCTAACTTTCCTGCCAGTGAAGGACGAGGGAGGGAGGGAATGGGATAAAAAAAAAAAAAAACGGGGGAGGAGGTGGAATATGAATAGGGCAGTGGAGTGAGTGCAAAAAGGAAAGTGGAGGGAGAAGGAGAATAAAAGGAGAGCATGTTGACAAAAACCTCAGCTCACTTCATTCTCTACTCTATAATCCAGAATGCTCACTGGCAGGCTTCCTACCTGCCATCAAGACTTTTAACTTTTATCAATCTTTTTATTGCTGTTATTCATCACAGCATTATTTATCAGCCCTTCTTCTTTTCTCTCCAGCCATTGAAATGAGCTGGAGTGGGTGTGTGTGCTTGTGGGGGGGTTGGGGGGGGGGTGAATTCTTCTAATTGAAATTCTTTGCATGGTCTCCATGGGAATGGTAAACTTTGCAGAGAGGGAAAGAAAGACAGCGAGGGTGAACAAATGAAAGCAAAAGAAGGGCGAGAGCGGGACAGAGTTTGTAAGAACTTGGGTGAAGGACGGAGGCAGAGCGGAGAATGGGGAACATTCAGCCCCTCTTTTTTAACCGCTGACATATTGCATTTCATTTTATTTTTTTACACGGCGCCCCCTTTCCCCCTGTTTTCCCCGTCGCTCTTCCCCTCTCACCCTTCCATTCTTTTTTCTTCTCTCCTTTGTCACCTGTCACCCCGCCCAAGTCTCTGCCCTCCACCCTCTCCATCTGTTTTCCCCTCTTACTCCGATGCTAAAGAGGGACAATGGCACCCCATGCTGTGTAATGATGTGCACGCGCGCGCGTGTTAAGATGTCCGAGCTCATCTATTCTGTGCTTTGTTCTCACAGGTCGATGATGCCATGCTCATGTTTGACAAAACAACCAACAGACATAGAGGTGCGTACTCAGAGTTATACTCAAATGTGCACCCGCCCGCATTATGTTGATACGCTAAAGTGGGACCACGATGGAGTCATTAGCTCTGGTGATCTAGCTAAAAAAAATTCAAACAAACAAAATTTTTCTTAACGTTGTCTTTCCTCGCTCTCGCCTACTTCTGTTTATACAAAGTCAGGATCTAAGTTAAGACAAGTGGGGAAGGGGGGAGAAAGAAAAGAGCAGGGTGGAGTTAGCCACGCCCTATCCCCCCTCTCCTCCATGATGCTAACACCTTAATTGACAAGCAAGACCTGTGAGGTTGGCCTCAGCTCTTTGGGTTGTACGTTACAAAAGGGAGACATTAAAGTGATCACATGTTTTCTGATAACTGCTCGTTCTTCCATCTCATTATAACCACTCATATCCAGAGCCCGTGTAAAGGTGGAAAATTCAACATGCTTTCAAATGTTGCTCAAATGTTACAAGGGTTTCTTTAAGAGTTTTTTTTTTCTCTCGCTCTTTTCCAGGTTTTGGTTTTGTTACCTTTGAGAATGAAGATGTGGTTGAGAAAGTGTGTGAGATCCACTTCCATGAGATCAACAACAAAATGGTACGGACGTGAGCTGTAAAAAATATTTAGAGCGTGGTTTACTCGGTGGTGTAGGGATTTGTTCCCAGTGTCCCAACTGCCAGACTAAATCATGTGCCGTAACTGCTGTGTGTCTTTATTTCAGTAGTTTTTTTTACTAACTCCCTGTTTTCTTTGCTTTAGGTGGAGTGCAAGAAAGCCCAGCCCAAGGAGGTGATGACGCCGACAGGCTCAGCCAGAGGCCGTTCCAGGGTGATGCCCTACGGGATGGACGCTTTTATGCTGGGCATTGGCATGTTAGGTAAAGTATTAAACAAACAGCAAATGTTAATCAAGTGCTAGCACTGATTGACACCATTTTTCTTTACGAAGACAGAAATAACAGATTATGCAAGTATGTGTGTGTAACTTAGTTTTAGATTGTACGTATTCTAAAAATACTCAAAAGAAGTAACAGGAGAATAAACTCAGACATCTAGAATGTGGAAAAACACCGACACGAGACATATTTCTGTATGTGTTGCTGATCAGAAATAACAGAAAAGGAACCAAATCACAATATTGACTTATCCTCAAATTTCAGTAGTGCCTTGAAAATGTCTTCTGTGCATTAATTTAGCTGGGAATAGCTCAGCAATTTGAACGCATTTCTTAGGTTTCCTCATTCACACTGAAGGAGCTGCTTTAAAAATTAAGAAATGTCATATTGTAGGTGCACCCTCCGCTCAAAGATATTTAGGCTACGTAAGCTAAACGCCTGCTTTCAATGACGTTATTCTCTGTGATGTATCGAATGTTTAGAGGTCACGGACTGAAGGGCTCCACACGCTGGAGTAAAAATACAGTATGAAGAGATCCTCATTGAGAAATCAAAACCGAGAGCTACATCAGCTGTAGTTTGTGGTTGTTTGATGCCCTCTACTGGCAAATTTCAGATCGTAATACATAATCTCAGTAAGGGCCTGTAAATGTCAGTGACTCATACTATCAGGTCTGGCTCATGTGTAATTCATCTCTAATGACCCCATTTCCCGCAGACGTTAAGCTAATGTGTATGCCTGGATCACCAAGTGTCCGGAGCTTCGCCTTAAATTTCAAAATATTCCGAGGTTGATTAAAATGAACCCCGGATGAGGGAAAGTAAAATCAAATAAATGACCTTAAATCACTCAGTAGTTAATAATAGCCATCTTTACTGTAACTCCTTCGTAGCTGCACTCTGTTGTACAAGAGCAGAGGAAATTACCTTATAGGAGATCGCTTAGCTAACTGCCACTGCAGCAGGTGAATGTATGACTGCACTCTTGAGGTGGTTCCAAAAATAAACCTGGATAGATCAGATGGCTAGATCTGCCTGTGTGTACTCATCGTGATTTCTGCTCACACACCAAGCAGCCTCCCCTAAAACTCATTTTCTGATTTCGCCATCATGCTCCTTTATACAGTCAATTAATCCTCTCTCTCTTTCTCTCTCCAACAGGCTACCCGGGTTTTCAGACTGCTACCTACACCAGCCGCAGTTACTCTGGTATCGCGCCCGGATACACCTACCAGTTCCCAGGTACGTCTGCATAAGCCTCGATCACAGCTCACTGACTCTCTTTAGGCCTGCAGACAAGGACAGAGTAAAGGCTAAAGGCTACAGGCTGCGGCATGCTGACAATTTTTAACAGCGCGAGGCGAAACATGTATGAACAGCAACGGCCACGTGGCTAGACGCTCATGTGCACGCTCAGGTTCGCGTGTCATGCCGCCTTCATTTCAGCTGCAGCAAGTGTGATTTTAAAGCCCTCTTGTCTGTAACTTAAACCCTCTGCACTTTCTGAAACATTGTCTTCTGTTTTGAATGTTAGTTATTGATGTTTTTTGCCTTTCATTTGTGATATTGAACCTTTTTCCTCTTATATTCTTCTTTGTTTATTTGATCTGCTTATGTAAGCCCCATTCAATTGGCCGTATCGCCCCTCCTTTTCCTTTGCTCCCACCTTCCTGCCTGTCCTTACAGTAGGTTTTCTTTTTTTGTTTTGTTCTGTTTTGTTTTTACTTTCTGTGCTCGTGCATCTATGTTGACATTGTCTCTGTGTGCGTGTGTGCCTTTGTAGTATGGCTGGTGAATGGCGACTATTTACAAAGACATTTTTCTCTCTCTGGATCTTCTCTGTTTCTAGAATTCCATTTAGAGAGGACCCCCCTCCTGACATCATCCCACCCTCCTGAGCTGGCAGGTGAGTGTTGCCGCAACCCCTCTGAGAACCTAAAAAGAAAACCCAAAGCTCTTTAGCAGCAGAAACCCAAGTTAAACCACGAAGCCCATCTTTACTAAATGCAGTAACTCTGAATCACTGGGATACTTCTTCAAAAACAAAAGCAGCATAACCCAAAAAACAAACCTGTTTACTTTTACTTTTAAAATCAGATTTAGATTTAATTTTTGATTAAAGAAATAGTCCGCCTATGTACATACATGTGAGGCAATCCAACAGCAGGTAGAAATAGGGTTCAAAGGTAATGCAAACGACCTTGCAGACTTTTCAAGAATCAAACTTTAAGTCGTTTCTGTGAACATATCGGTTGTTTTCACGAAGCTACTGTGGAGGTCGCCTTAAAATGTTTTTTCCCCTTAAGCACCAAATCCTGGGTTAAAACAAGGTCAAACTGAATTCACAATGTTATTAAAAATAAAAATATGAACCCCCAGGTATTGGTTAGCACTGTTATAGTAAGAAGGTTTCTGGCTCAGACCTCCTGGCCGGCTGGATTCTGTGCGGAGTTTGCATGCTGTCTCCTCCCACAGTCCAAAGACATGCATGTTAGGTTAATCTGTGATTGGCCATAGGTGTGAATGTAAAAGTGTGTGATTGTCCGTCTCTCTTTTCGAACCCACTGACCAGTGACCTACCCCGGGTCTACCATGCGTCTTGCCTAAACTCATCTTGGGTGGGCTACAGCCTCCCATCAACCTTCAACTGGATAAGCAGTTAAGGAAATTGATGGAGCGATTTATGGATGTACACTAAACGATCTAAACAGTTCCATTTTGCTTTGAAGACTACTTCTGACAGAGGTGACAAGATATGATGATATATTGGGCTAAAAGCTTTTAGGTTGCTCCTAACTCTGCCGGTAAATACTTTTAGCCTTTGGATGTGTTGTGCATGCAGCCGATCTACAAGCAGCTGTGCCTTTACACTGACATCTAGTGGCTCTGAGCTGTACTTACATCTTTACTTGGAAACGCCATCCTCTTTGATTTTAGCCATCATTTTGTGTCTTATTTAATGCATCAAGCCAGATGCTATAGGATGTTAGATTATTAAACCTTACACCAGTGGTATTTAAATGACATGTCAGATCTCTGGGTCAGCTGTCAGTTCAGCCACACTGAGCTGTAGATCATGACATACGTGTTGTGTGACAGTTTTGTTTGTTGTGTAATCCTCAGCCATTCCCCTGACTGCATACGGACCAATGGCAGCAGCTGCAGCAGCCGCCGCGGTAGTTAGAGGTATGTCCCTGTTTGTCTGCGAAAGAGTGTGAACAGCAGGAGTGTGTGCATGTTTACAAATTTGCATGCTCGCCTTACTCACAATGAGCGCGTGCGTGATGGCCTGGTTGGAGAAATAAAGGAATATTTTTAGACATGTGCATGTTTCTATGTGTGTGTGTGTGAGAGAGAAAACCCTCCAGTGTTTAACACTGACTTGTCTCTCCTGCCTCTCAGGCTCCACCCCTTCACGCACAGCTGGCTTCCTGGGCACCAGCAGCCCTGGACCAATGGCTGACCTGTACGCTGCAGCCAATCAGGACTCAGGAGTCAGCAGCTACATCAGTGCAGCTAGCCCCGCCCCCAGCACAGGGTTCAGCCATGGTATAGGGGTAGGTCACAGGCTCCCTTCCTCACCCACCAACTCACTCAGACTTACATGCATGCATGAATGCACACGTGTGTTGACAAAGCTGCTAGAAGTGTATTCATCCTTGCCTCTATGTGTGTGTGTGTGTGTATGTGTGTGTCCTCAGGGTCCTCTGATTGCTACTGCCTTCACTAATGGCTACCACTGAGAAGTCTCAGGTCACCGAGGGATGGGAGGGCGTCTCCTCTGCTGATGAGCCAATCACAATGCTGACTGCCCACTGATGGCACAACCTGATTGGCCGGCCACCGGCTCTTTACCGGGCTCTCCTGGCTCCATATGGCTCCGCCCACCGACTGAATATCTTTTTAAATCCAGAACTCTTGTTTCTGCTGTACTAATCTCACTTCAACATAACTTCCCTGTTTTCTCCTCTTTTGTCCTCATCATGTAGTCTAATAACTAGAGCCCACCCCCTCTCCCCCCTCAGTTATCCATTTTTTTCATTTTGAAGCTGAGAAAAAGAAACTGCAAAAAAAAAAAAAAAAAAAAAAAAAAATCTCCTCTAATTGCATTTGAGATTTGTATTAAAGAGGCCCTACTAGCTATCACGGAGCTCGAAAATCGTCATTTTAAACTTCACTTCCATCATGAATCCTTCCCAGCTGTCGCGCTGATGTTAACAGAAGCAGAAAGAAGGAAAAAAAAA